AACGACATGCTGCTCAATGTGTCGCGGTTGGTTGCAAACACTTTCTTTATATCTGGGTTTTGCTCCACTGACGCACTACTTTGACAAGAAAGTCTGAAAAAATTACTCCTCGTTTCTATGCTTACCGAGTTGCGAAAAAGACATAAATATTTTGTATTAAGGATGACGGAAAAGCTATTTGAATCCCACATACTACAGCGTTTGATTCAATATTCGTAAAAACAAAGATACAGACTTAATAGCATACCACAACCTAGAGAATATTTAATGGTGAAGGTACTTCTAACCTGGTGAATATTGCATTCCATTATTCTTTTTCAGTAGCTCTAATCACTCACCTCCACCTCGACTATGTCATCCAGAATCGGTGCGTCAAAGTAGAACATTTCGGACGTTCCCTTGAGCAGCCTGGTGCCACGTTTCTCATTAAACAACATCATTTTCCCCGAGTCTCGTTTCGCGCGTCCAACACAACGAACCCAAACCGGACCGATAGTGCCCGAATGCTTTATTGATCCAGTCACCACGCGAATGTGATACGGCGTGGCTGAAACGCACATTAGAAAAAACGGATAATTAATCAGTCCCAAGATTTTGTCTCAGTAATCTCTATAACAAGAATTGATTGAAAACAGTCACATTGGGACGCAATAAGACCCACGTGTGCATACCTCGATGAGTTCTAAACTACTCCTCAATAAATCTGTCAACAGTAATTACTGAAGAAACGGGAATAAATCCTATTAGAAATCTTCCAGCACATGAAGTGATCAATCGAAGTCAGTTGAATCGGACTGCTTTGCGTTTTCACGCCTCATGCAGTATAAAAGCTTTTGCGCTGTGATTTTCAATCACTATACTTGCTTTCGAGTAGGTATCGAATATCCGAGATAGAGAAACGAAAAGTTCCTCGAATCGTTGATATCCCGTTTGAGTCAGTGCTAGATGTATATTCTTTTTGTCCCTCTATTTCCTATCCCCTATAAAACACGCGCCCTATAATTCACAGTATATGCTGCTGCTTATTCACGCTCATTGGAATTAATATTAACCTTCTATCGGTTACTGCTTTAGAAAACGTGTATGTTTCTTTCTGCGGTATCCAAACGAAAGTAACTGCTCTGGATACAATCAAGAACGGAACTGCTTTCATCAAACCTCACTGTTAATTGGACTTGTTAAGGTCTGAGAAATACAGAGGATAACACGTGCATGCAGTTATGACTAAATCACTGTTCATCTTGACCACGGTTCGAGTTACAAGAAGTGAGAACTGGAATTGAAAGGATTCATAGAATTCAATCGTTAAATTATTCAAGCTTTCGACTGATGCATTCCATTGACCAAAGGGTAATAAATGAATGGTAAAGGTGTTGTGTAATGGGGAACTGTTTCATTGAATATTTCACCCAATTCGTACGGGATTATCGTCTAAGGATTTAAAAACTTACGACCATCAGCTTATCTAGTATATCAAAACTAATTAATTAATTAATTAACTAATTGATTTCAATGGCCACAAATTACTCCCAAAAATTTAATAAACACCCTCCGAAATGACTTCAAGAGAACTATTTGGGCTATCATTCACGGGAGTCGAGAAGACCACAACACATTTGGAAACGTTGTCGAGAAGGGGGGGAGGGGGAAGGGCTGAGAGTCCTTGATTGTTCAGAACAATGAAGTGCACCTTCTTTCATCGGACTGACCCAGTTATCACTTGTGAAGTCTCTGGAATCCGAAGTGAATTCAAACTGATCAAATTGATACATAAGAATTGAAGCTTATATGGTTTACTTATCGATTTAATTCACTGTTCTAACCATCACGAGTTTCCAAAGAACTACTTTTGAAATGAAAAATACCTTTATTTACTGCATTCGATCCAGAGTTATTTAGAGACCAAGAAAAGCAAACGGTAACGGGGTTTGATTCATAAAATCTTCTTTATGTATCCGGAATATTTCACATGATCCGTAGCAAGACCCCTTGCTTCCTTCACTTAAAATTCATTTTAAGCTCCAAAGACTGGGCAGAAGAAGATTTAAATGTTCGAAAACAAATGTTCTCTACTCACTAGGCAGACGTTCTCCTTCGGAGAGGGATTCTAGCCGTGGACTTTCCGGTGTTATGTGACCTGTCTCAACCACATTCACCATCTTCCGCGGAAGAACGATGACACCCTTTGGAAGTAGGGTATGTTTCATCATGGGATTCAAATCAGCCATTGTCTGAATAGAAGCTACGCTTTGATTTGCATCCTCGTCAGATAGATATTCGTGTGCCACGAGGGTTCGATCAGTCAGACCATCCTCATGATGTGTGGACAACCAGCGTTCACAGTGGAATGTAGTTGGTGATAATAGAGGTGCCGGTTTATCGCTGTTCGTATCGGCTTTTGATTGGCTCAGGGGCTGCACCTCGATTCGGGACAAGAACCACGAGGACCCGACCCCGGTATTGTCATGACGAATGCGTGCTTTGCGTAGCTTTCCCAGATCCACTGCTTCCCATATAAAAACATCTGTCTTGAGGATTCAATTTGCAGAAATTATTGTGCGTTAGATTGCGAAACTGATCAAATATCGTGAAGCAGGCATAAACTATAGAGATGTAGCTGTTCAAACAAACTCACTATTCTAGTGTGGGTTTTATCTTTTTCACCATACAACTAATATCACTGCACATAAAACTCTAGTGAAAAACTATGAATGCACCTTATGAGGTTTCCAGTTTTGCTAGGGGGAAAGGAATCGGTACGCACTTGCAATTTTTCCTTGCTAACTCGAACTCTGAACACAAGGACTGTAAGCGGGAATTGGAAACATCTATTCTAAAAGGGTAGTAACAGATAGGCTAAACATTTGTAATTGAGTTTGTGTACCAAACATTAAAATACTCTAAACAGCCGTTTCTTCGTTATTAGTGCGCATTCAGTTGCTCGTATTAAGAACTGGAGAGCCATGCTTCAAGTTTGAGCTAAATATCACCGGTTTAGTGATGTGTTCATAATGCCGTAGGCATAATAGTATGTTTGTGCATAAAATCACTTGACTATTATCTGTATCTGTGTGGTGTAAAGATAATTGTCCCCGGTGGGGTATGATTGTATGCGTGAAAGCTGCCTTCAACTTCGTCAGCCCGTGGAGACACAAGGTCATGCCGATAGTACTTGTCTTTTCAAGTTTGACCCAAAAAGTATGTTACAAATGCACGTAGAATATATCAATTAGGATGTAGGTAAATGGAAATGGTTGTGATTTTTTTAATGTTTTACTACCTTTTACTGAATACACAATGNCAATCACTCTTCACTGGATTTATCTGGGATACACGTCCTTCGTTGCCATAGAAGCGTTGTGTGGTTATGGTCATCTTAAATTCTGTGAGATACTTAGCCGTTTTCATCAAGCAACTTCGAACTTCTGGCCACCGGATTTTGCCTTCTTTTGGCAAATCGGTTCGTAACAGGGAGAGAAGAATTTAAGGAAATCTCAAAACATTTCCCAGAAAACACAGAGCTGGGTGGCAGGTCGCACTACGCAAACGATCAGTTTCAGACATCTGCATTCCAGTAGTCATCAGTGGAAATGTGCGCTCCCTGCTTGGCAACATGGCAGCAGTAATAGATCTCACAAGGAGGCGTGAATATTCGAAGGTTGGAGTCGTAATGCTTCAGGAAAACTAGCTCCACAACGAAATTGATGATAACGTGGTCAAAATTGACAATTTTTCCATCTGCCGAGTTGACCGACCCGTTCCGGTTCACAGACGAGGCGGTGGTGTTATCACATACATAAATGACAATTGGCGCAAATCAGGTAAATGAGTCTCTATGTATTCTACCATTTTTATCAGTACTTCACTGTACAAATGCGAACCTAAACACCTCAGTGACCACCGAAACATTCTTTTTGGTAACATCTACATTTCTTCTTGTTGTTCCACTGATCATTTCAACGAGTTCACAGATATTTTCTTCACCGCTTTACTAAATTACTTAGACTTCTCTCTTTGCATCATGTGTGGTGACTTCAATAGGTTTGATGTCACGTTTTTTACAACCCTTGGATTACAAAACGTTGTTAACTTTCCGACCAGACGCCAGGCTTGTCTTGATTTGTGTTTCATTAACGACCTGAATTTATTTAACTTGCGCTGTCGTACCCCTGTTGGCACCTCTGATTGTGCAACACTGAAATTATCTCCCACGATCTACAGTAGATCCAAGCACCAGTTTAACACTCTGCATCATGATCGTCGTCTTCGTCGGTGTTAATGCTAACCCGAAAATCTTGCCAGACTAAAAGATATATTAGATCAAACAGATTTCTCTTTATTTGTACACAATGACCCCTCTATATTTTGTGATACCCTGACTGAATACTTGAAGTTCTGGTATGACACGTGCTTCCCGTGGGAAAATTTATACATACGGTTTTTCGTCCCCCACACTTAAACGATTGCGTCGGAAGAAAGAAAAAGCTTTCAAGGCGAAAAAGTATTCTTTCGTTTGAGGCCACTCGAAAGCGATCAAGGCAGAACTGTGGAGAGTAAACGCCGCTTATGTACATGCACTGCTGGCAAACAGAAATTGTCGGGATACATGGAAAATGATGTTAGAGTTCTGTGGTCTCAAAACGAAGGGGAATCGTCCAGCTGCCAATGTGGACGATAGCAATCGCCAATTCAGCAATGCTGAAACCGACACCCCAATTCCATTGACAGCAGTTGCCCCCTCTCCTGATGTTGGTAATTTAAGTACTGATCAAACTGAAGTATTGAAAACCTTCATCAACCTGAAGTCTAATAAAGCATGCGGTCCTGATGGACTGCCACCTGTTGTGCTCAAAGAATGTGCAGCCTCCCTTTCCCCTGTTTCCACTAACCTACTCAACCTGTGTTTTACTAAACATTGCATTCCGAACTGCTGGAGAATCGCTTCTATCACACTAGTACGCAAAAAGGGATCCTCCAAATTTCGCCCGATTGCAAGCACTTTTGTGGGTTTGAAAGTCATGGAAAAGATTTTACTACAAAAGGTGCTGCACCAGCTGAATGCACCTGATCCCAATCAATTTGCCTCCTGCAGTTCCAGGTTAACCATTGATGCGTTGGCATCCCTCATTCATTATATCTCTTGCTCCTTGGACAGGAAATGTAAAGCTGTTCGGGTATGTTTCTTTAATTATAGTGATAGTGTTGATAGGTCCAAACTTCTTCACACTCTTTCTGAGAAAGGCATTCAGCTGGAGCTTACCAATCTTTTAAGTAATTATTTCACCCATCGATCACAGTTTACCAAATGTAACGGTCGTAACTCTTCACTTTTACCCTCCACTCAAGGAGTTCTTTAAAGCGCTATTCTATCTCCCTTCTTGTTCACAACCTATATTTCTTCAATACCTGCTTTTGATGATTGTCTGCTCATTAAGTATGCCGATGGTGTTGTACACGGCATGATGTTTTCGAATTCCTCCGTGTACCCCAAACTTATGCCGAATATTTCACTGCTCACCGACTGGTCTTTGCAACACAATCTTAGAATGAATCCTTCCAAGTGTAATGATGTTTTATTTTCTTTAATGAAGGGTGATCAATATATTGACATGATTAACTCTTGTCAGCATGTCATTATCAATGGTGAAGAAGTTTCCAGAGCATGCTCCGTAACATATCTTGGGGTCACCATTTCCCGCAATCTTTCT